GAGAGGAAGGGCTTCAAAACACATGTCCTCTCAAAGCCAGGTTGGCAGGGGTCTTTCTACACAGAGAGCGTGTGTCAGCCACAGCACAGAAGTAGCAACATTGTCCTCTTTGTTTTTCCCCCACAATAACCTGCTTTGCTACTGCTGTCAGTGCACAAAGATTTGGACAGGATGAAAGAACACCACCAGGCACATAAAACAAAATAAAGAGAGAAAGAAAAAGGGCAGGTAGAAAGTGTTCTTCCAACAGTTTCAAGAGATGTAATTGAAATCTATAAAGTCATGAGCTCACTGAATCGATTCACAGCTTACTCCTTTTTTTTAAATGAAGTAGAACCCGAACAGTTTAGTGAACATCTTTTGTAGGAAATCCAAAGTGGATAAATATATTTAGTTGCAACACCTCAATCTCTACCTTGCATCCCACTATATCAAGTGTGTATGCCCCACTACAACAATGTTCCACAGCTACACTGTTTGAGAGCTTGGAAAAAGTTACTTTTGGTAAGCTTGCCTCCTACACATACCAATGGGACCATGATGGCTGTGGGATTCTGGCAACTGTTATTCTAGAAAAGTGACACTCCCTGGCTCTGTGTTTCTTATGTTCAATTTCAATGTCACTAATTTCTGGAAAGTTGAGCATTTGCACACATGCCGTTATTCAATTACAACAGTCTACTAACTATAATATTGGACAGAGCTTTCCAAAAAAATTATATTGGTGACACTTTTTAGACACACATCAATTCATGAAACAGTTTCATTAGGAAACAAGAAGTTAAATCAACCTTCATAAGAGATACAGACACATATGTAATAATGACTTGTATGGGGACACGGCATATATCATTAAAACCTATACATTTAGCTATATTTGTGATACTGAATTAAAAGCACCTAACCCTTTTCTTCATGAAAGGCATGCATCTTTAATTCCTATTCAACACAAAGGTTCAAGTGGGGCATGGAAAAGTTCTTATTTCAGTTATAGCTTCCCAAATCCCCAGGCCAGCTCAGAAATTAAAATAAGTAATGTTTCCAAGTTCTGGATTCATCGTGATGCATTTCAACCTGTGAAGATCTCTGCCTATTGAATTTAGCCGATATAGTTATCTTCTTTTTCTGGAAGAGAGATTTTTACAATTTAAACAATTGAAAATCTCTTCCTTTAAAAAAAAAGTTGACATTTTAACAATTCAAATGTAAGAGAAAATGGAACGGACAGTCTCTTTTACTGCTTCCTAGTTCAATCCTTCTAAAAATCAATGGTTGTCAAATTCCCAGCTATTAGGTAACCTTTTCCACATTGACATGTTTGCTGAGAAAATTTTGTGCACTTACTGTGGTATTTATTTATTTACAGGAACCATACCATCCTTTGCTCATTAATTCTAGGGCAGCTAAGCTGGGGCATAGGAAGGCAAGGAAACTACAAACAACTTGACAAATCAGCCCCAAATAACAATAGTTGCAACAGCAGCCTATATGGCAGTAGGAAAGGTCACAATAGCATATGAAAATACACAAGGGACACAAGCTTAAAAGGCCTGGGAGAAAATACAAAGGCTCATTCCTGTGTCTAAATGAGAAAGGGGAATCAATATTCCCATGGCTTAGAAAAGTTACCTTTTTGGGCTGTAATCCTCCAAACCCCCCTTTTAAAAACTGGCTAGTGGCATCTTGTGGAGGGTCTGACACAGTGACACCAAAATTAACCTGGGAAGTTGTCCACATTCCCACATTTTCTACTAACCACTATGTAGTTTTCATTTTATCACAACTCATAGGTCCCTAAAAACAACAAACAAAGATGAAGATCACCACAAACTGCCTTTTCCTTCTTTCATTAATTGCTTGTTTCTGTTTTCTTTTTAAACAACCACAAAATAAAACCCATTTTCACCTCCAAACATTTTATTTTAGTGTTAGTAACTTAGCTCTGGTTAATGCTTCCCTTTCTTTTTCTGACGTTGTCTTTGCATCTGTTGGAACTATTTGTAACACTTTGTGAAATCTGAGGTTATCCCCAAGAAACCACCCCTGGGGGAAGCCAGGCTTACACAGCCTTGTTTCTATGGTCCTAACAAGCCAATACTGTCCATGATATTTGCATCCCAAGCAATCAGAAGGAAAAGCACAGTGTTGCTTTTCATATAAAAGCACAATAGGGGTGAATACATTAACCTCTGCAAACTTACACACTGACTGTGCTTTCTTCGGCTCTCAGCTGACTCAACTGCAGAAGAGATTCATCTTCACTGTTGCCTGTCTTTTCTTGTTCTCACTAAGAGAGTGACTTAGTATTCTGATATTATGACATACATAGCCAATTGAAAGCAGCAAGAATTTCTGGGCCAGTCACAATGTGACACGATTGCCCCATCTTTTAGATAGAAATTATTTTTACCCCAGGTGTGAGGAAAGCAGGAAACAACAATCTCCACCAGCTGTTAAAAGGGGAAATCTAACTCATATAACCTTTTCTTAACAGGTTGAGGACTTGGGTGTGTGAGTTCATCTTGTAAAACCTGAGGTTTTTATTTAGCACACCTTGGATCTATTGATTTAGTATGCAGTCAAGTGAGGTTCTCCATATGTGGTGAACTGAGATGAAGAAATGTGAATACATTCATAACACTGGGAACAATTCAAAGACAAAGTCATGTTAGTCTGGAATATCAGTTTGGAAAGGGGTCTTATGGCACCTTAGAGACTAATTGAGAGAATGAAGTCGGTAGCATAAGATTTCATAGACTGAGATCTACTTCCTTACAGGCATCAGAGAAAGTAAACTCAATATACAAAAGCTTATGCTTCTCAATTCCTTCTCTCAAACAGTCTCTAAGTTGTTACAAAATCCTTATATATGTTCATAACATTGGTTACTCTTGTATTGTGAACCAAGATCTCCAATGATTAACATACTGTTTTTCCCTATTAATAAAACCAGGAGAAAATAACCCCTTGATGGGCATCCACATCATCATGTGGTGGGCTGAATTAACACAATGGATAATCTTCATGGGTGAGAGAGTGCCTTGTGTTCCCAACAATAGTTTTTAGCAATATTCCTAGATAACTATATGAACCGAATAATCTATGGCAATAGCTGTCCTATATAACCCAATGCCTGGAATCATTCTTGTAAACAAAGTCAACCTACTTCTAAGCTCATTTATCAAGGTCTTCTCTGATCTTAGATTATGGTCTCAAGAGATTTGATGCAGTCACCTTTTTCAATGGATGGGAAACCACCTGGAAACTCTATATATATGATGCTGAGATCCACCTAAATAAATATGGAATGGCTACAGAAATACCTGCCAATAACTTTGCTCAATCTCTGATAAAGATGTGAAGGATACGAATTAATACTGGACTATTCTATGGAAAAAGATGTCTCAATACTGAAGTTACCCCAATGAGGAAAAAAAGACAAGCTCCAAGATTGTTCTCACTTCAAGACTTGTGGGAGGGAGGCATTGTTTTCAAAAAGTATGTGTTGTTTTCTTGCATAGAAGACGTGTTTTTGGAAAGCAAAGATATTTTATAGAAAAGACACCAATTCCTGAACAAAAACAAGAAATTTATGCGAGACACTATTACTCTATGAAATTTATACAAATTGCATGGATTCCTGTTGAATAGAACCACGATGTGTGTGTTTTGGCATGACAGACCAAAACCAAAATTGTTGTATAGGAAGTAGCGTATTTTGTTCACCATACATAATTTTTGCACAGAAATATACTGTCTCCCCAGGAAAGCCATGCAAATTTTCACACAAATGTATTTAATTGAAAATACAAATAGTGCTCACATATTACATATTCTCACAGAGTGAGGAAGAAGTTCCATAAATTATTCATTATTGCATGTGAGACAGTAATGGAATTATGGCCTCTATTTCACTTTTTGTGGTGAATTTGTTACATTGAGATGGGGAAGAAGATAACTCACCAATGATTCCTAGTTACCATTTGTTCTGAAGCAGCAATTACAATATTATGTCTCTCTTACTCCATTTTATAGTCAGCCCTCCACATATGATGGAATTTGGGGCATAGGACTCCAGTGAAAATGAAAAAATGTAAATAAATAATTGATTTTTTTTACCTGAGAAAACACCTCCCTAAGAATTTCTAGATCCTCCAGCATGATTCTTTGGTCAACTTCTGCTGCATGCTGACTATAAAACTGCCCTGAAAGACCTAGAAAAAATCTCACTGGGAGATGTTCTTTCTAGAAATCTCTAAGTCTTCCAGCATGACTCTATGGTCAACCTCTGGAGATTAATCGCAGAGTCACAATGGAAGATGTAGAGATTCCTAGACAGAACATTTTAGCCAATTTCATAAATAATCAAATCAGCAAAAGTCAAACCAACAAATGTGGAGCATCAACTGTACTAATGATTAGGGTGAGAAATGGCCTGTATTCAGTAGTAGGAAACCAAACACTTGTCTTTGCAGTTTTTTGAATTATAAGGACATGCCATTTATACCAGGATCTGGATGGCTGTTTCTGCTAATCATGTACAGAGGTACATCTCTTTGTCCTTTCTAAGCCAAGTGCCCATCCGCTGTGAGGTTAAACAGTCTGAGAAGAAATTTCTCTCTATTCCCTCCCCTCTCCAACATGTTTCAAGTAATCAAAGTCTAAATTTGGAACCAAGGAATGGAAGTAAAATGCAAAGGAAAAGAAGTGCAAATTTGTATACTGCTATTATTATTAAGCCGCTAAGTCCAGCACATCACAATGGTGTGGAAACAATCCTTCAAATAAAACCCCTCTCAGGTGAAAAGAAAGCCATCTCCAGATGCAATTTTGCAAATGAAAAAGGAGGGTGTGTCAACCCCCACCCCCAAGAAACAAAATAAAGAGTGGGGAGGAGTAAAATAAAAGCGTTGTGGATTTTGTGCAGTTCAAATGGGAGAGAAAACCATTTTCCATATTTATTTAACCTTTGCCTCATCCGGCATTGTATCCAGACTTACCTGCAGTTGGAGAGGGCCTAAGCCGGGGGTTGCTGCGGCAGCAGCTGCCATGGTTGTTGGGATCAGCTGAACAGGGTAAGGGTCACCTAAGTAAGAGAATAATAGAGGCGTCAGCACCTTTTATCTACTCTCCACCTGCAAATTAAACTCCTGCATTCACTCTTCCCAAAAGCCTTCTTTTGTGTGCCTTGCTGAGGCCTAATGAAAAGCTCCATTGTGAAGCCTTTTACTAACACTCTTCACAATTCTGGCTGAGAGAGGAATGTGAATAAAAGGCACAAGCAATTAAGGCGGAAACCTCATCCTTTTTCATGATGTATTTAGGGAAATAGGGAGGGGGGCGCATATTGATCAGAGGACCGAGCTTCAGAAGGTTGGGGAGTGGGAGCTAGGAAGGAAAAAGGAAAAGGACGGTATGGGATGGAACAGGACAGTGCAACCTTGATAATCACATCATACTAGATGGGGACAAATTTACAAACTTGCCTGGAGAAAACACTTAAGACAACAGAACTGACTTGGGAGCAGGCCCGTAGCCAGGATTTTGATTTGGGGGTGGGGGGTGGGGGCTGAGTCTGAGTGAAAGAGGGTCTACCCTAGCAAACCTTTTGTATTGTTACCCCAATACCCCC